CTCGCTCACTCTCACACATGCTCACTCTCTCACACACGTACACTCATCTGTCTCTCACACACACTCCGGTCTCACACACACTCTGACACACACGTATGTGTGTGCAGGTGTTGAGGATCCACCTACGAGGACTAAAGAGCATAAAGTGAGCAGACAGGCAGCTGGGGCCTCTGAGAAACAGAACAGATGCAGGAAATGCGGGGTCCCTCAGGCACACACTCCCCTCACCCCAGAATTCTCCGGAGCAGGTGTGTTTGGCAAGAAAAGGCTGACATGAGCTACACTGGGCATGACCTGACACTATCTTTAATGCTGCTCTGGCTCCCATCGTTTCAATCACGGCGAAAATGGCTCCGGGGATTTGCGGGCTGCTCGGAACCCTGGGGGTGCAGTGGTTACGCATGGGGCTGTGATCCGCATGGTCTGCATCTCAAAACCACCAGCAGCTGCTGGGAAGAAAGACTGGGCTTTCTACTCTGGTTCACAGTTACACTCTCGGGAACCCACAGGGGGTTGCTTTGAGTCAGCATTGACGCGGAGGCAGCTCCAGCTTGCAGGCTGCGCGGCGGAACACCTGGCGTCCGGCCTGCTCTCTTTCAGACTCACTGGGAAGCTGGGGAAAGGCGCCCTCTCCTCCTTGGTCTACAGCACCGACAGACAGACAAAGCACCCGACTTCTCACTTTGCTTCAGACTAATTCAGGGCTGGGGCTCCAGGATGATGCAAATGGTTAATGGTCACAGGCTGGCCTGTCAGGTCATCTTGGGCCTGGTCATCTGCTTCCAAAATGACGAGCCACTGTGAACCCTGGACACAGTTCTACTCTGGCCCTGTGGGGTCGTTGTGAGTCTGGGTTCACCCAGCAGCAGCTGGTTTGGCTTCTGAAAGTGGGGACAGGCGTCTCTTAAGAGGTTAGTGGTCAGCTGTGACGCAGGGGGTTGGCAGTTGGCCCCTGCCCAGTGACGCCGCAGGCCTGTCGCTGTTTGCCTAGAGAGGACAGCAAGAAACCCTATGCTTTATACAATTGATATGTGGAATAAGCGCTGTAAGAGCCCCCAATAAAATGAAAACAAAGGAAAAGAAAACTCAGGGAGCATGCGTGCTCGGCCACGTGAGGGGCCAGTGCCAGGGTCAAGTGGACATCAACGGGGAGGCTCCATCTACGTGGTGGAGTAGACTGGAATGAGGATGAAACCTGGCGATCACAATTGCCACTGGGCAGTGGAAGCACCTGGTTCATTGTTCTTTATAGTGGTATGCAAATTGGAATAAAAACCTTTTTTTTTTTTGCAGGCTCAATTCAGTTTTATTACTTTTTTGTATAAATGGACCATGTGGTCGCTACAGCTGGAGCCTGGGCCCTCTGCACGGAGACTCTGGTGTGGGTCTTCACAAGATGGTCAGTGAATTTCTGGTAGGGAGACTTGGTGAACACTGTCTCTTTCCAGAGGTCAGGGTTCACATGGCTATAGGTCTTGGAGATGGCATCAAAGGTGGCTTTGGTGAAGTTGCCCAGGGTGGCTGTGCAGCCCCTAGCCGACGTGTAGCAGTCATCAATCCCTGCCATCATCAGCAGCTTCTTGGGCACAGGGGCTGAGACGATGCCAGTGCCCCTGAGGGCAGGGATGAGTCGCACCAACACAGACCCACAGCGGCCGGTCACCTTGCAGGGGACCGTGTGGGGCTTGCCGATCTTGTTGCCCCAGTAGCCTCGCCACACGAGGACAATGCACAGCTTGGCCAGGATGATGGCCCCTCGGATGGCGGTGGCAACTTCCGTGGAGCACTTGACACCCAGGCCAACATGGCCATTGTAATCCCCGATGGCAACAAAGGCCTTGAACC